GCAGGCATGGCCTCCGAAGGCGGCGCTGTGGCAGGGAAGCAGGCGGGCAGACCCTCCAGAGGGGAAGTCAGGGACCACCAAGGGCAGACAGGGTTCCAGGCGAGAAGAGCCGGGCCTGAATGAGAAGCCGGGCCCAGGGCGCAGGGACTGGAGAGCGCGTGTCGCGTGTCCCGTTCCCCTCCCACCCCCCACCCACCCATCTCGTGCCAGAACGGGACTGACACCAATAAGCTACAGTGCAGAGGCTAGTCATCCGAGAGGACACCATTTTCCCCTGCGTGGACGCGTGAATCCCTGCGGCTAGGGACAGACCCCGGACCCGGTTCCCCCGGATGAAGCAGGGAAGGAGGTGGTATGCGGGGCGCTGTCTGGCCCTGAGCCTCTCCCCTTTTGGCTCCTCCCAGCTGCTGCTTACACAGATAAAGCTTCAAGAGGCTGCAGAGCAACGGGAGGAAAAGAGCCTGGGCCCTAAGTGAGCACGTGAAGCTGAGGGCCCCCCAACCCCCGTCCTCACAAACCACCCACTTCAAAAGCTCTATGACAGGCCCGGCCAGCGTGGCTCAGAGGTTGGGCATCAACCTATGAACCAGGAGGTCATCAGTTCGATTCCCGGTCAGGGCACATGCCTGGGTTGCAGGCTCGATCCCCAGTGTGGGGCCTGCAGGAGGCAGCTGATCGATGATTCTCTCATCACTGATGTTTCTCTCTCTCTCTCTTCCTTACTCTCTATAAAATCCACAAAAATATATTTTTAAAAACAAAAAAAAAAAAGCTCTATGATAGAAGCAACCCAAATGTCCTTCACCTGGCGGATAGAAAAACAAACTCTCTGGCCAGACGGCGGAACACCGTCCTGCTTGGCAGTGAGAGGGCACACGGTTCCCACCCACCGTCCTGCTGGGCGGTGAGAGGGCACACCGCTCACACACACCGTCCTCCTTGGCAGTGAGAGGCGCACCGTTCCCACCCACCGTCCTGCTGGGCGGTGAGAGGGCACACCGCTCACACACACCGTCCTCCTTGGCAGTGAGAGGCGCACCGTTCCCACCCACCGTCCTGCTGGGCGGTGAGAGGGCACACCGCTCACACACACCGTCCTCCTTGGCAGTGAGAGGCGCACCGTTCCCACCCACCGTCCTGCTGGGCGGTGAGAGGGCACACCGCTCACACACACCGTCCTCCTTGGCAGTGAGAGGCGCACCGTTCCCACCCACCGTCCTGCTGGGCGGTGAGAGGGCACACCGCTCACACACACCGTCCTCCTTGGCAGTGAGAGGCGCACCGTTCCCACCCACCGTCCTGCTGGGCGGTGAGAGGGCACACCGCTCACACACACCGTCCTCCTTGGCAGTGAGAGGCGCACCGTTCCCACCCACCGTCCTGCTGGGCGGTGAGAGGGCACACCGCTCACACACACCGTCCTCCTTGGCAGTGAGAGGCGCACCGTTCCCACCCACCGTCCTGCTGGGCGGTGAGAGGGCACACCGCTCACACACACCGTCCTCCTTGGCAGTGAGAGGCGCACCGTTCCCACCCACCGTCCTGCTGGGCGGTGAGAGGGCACACCGCTCACACACACCGTCCTCCTTGGCAGTGAGAGGCGCACCGTTCCCACCCACCGTCCTGCTGGGCGGTGAGAGGGCACACCGCTCACACACACCGTCCTCCTTGGCAGTGAGAGGCGCACCGTTCCCACCCACCGTCCTGCTGGGCGGTGAGAGGGCACACCGCTCACACACACCGTCCTCCTTGGCAGTGAGAGGCGCACCGTTCCCACCCACCGTCCTGCTGGGCGGTGAGAGGGCACACCGCTCACACACACCGTCCTCCTTGGCAGTGAGAGGCGCACCGTTCCCACCCACCGTCCTGCTGGGCGGTGAGAGGGCACACCGCTCACACACACCGTCCTCCTTGGCAGTGAGAGGCGCACCGTTCCCACCCACCGTCCTGCTGGGCGGTGAGAGGGCACACCGCTCACACACACCGTCCTCCTTGGCAGTGAGAGGCGCACCGTTCCCACCCACCGTCCTGCTGGGCGGTGAGAGGGCACACCGCTCACACACACCGTCCTCCTTGGCAGTGAGAGGCGCACCGTTCCCACCCACCGTCCTGCTGGGCGGTGAGAGGGCACACCGCTCACACACACCGTCCTCCTTGGCAGTGAGAGGCGCACCGTTCCCACCCACCGTCCTGCTGGGCGGTGAGAGGGCACACCGCTCACACACACCGTCCTCCTTGGCAGTGAGAGGCGCACCGTTCCCACCCACCGTCCTGCTGGGCGGTGAGAGGGCACACCGCTCACACACACCGTCCTCCTTGGCAGTGAGAGGCGCACCGTTCCCACCCACCGTCCTGCTGGGCGGTGAGAGGGCACACCGCTCACACACACCGTCCTCCTTGGCAGTGAGAGGCGCACCGTTCCCACCCACCGTCCTGCTGGGCGGTGAGAGGGCACACCGCTCACACACACCGTCCTCCTTGGCAGTGAGAGGCGCACCGTTCCCACCCACCGTCCTGCTGGGCGGTGAGAGGGCACACCGCTCACACACACCGTCCTCCTTGGCAGTGAGAGGCGCACCGTTCCCACCCACCGTCCTGCTGGGCGGTGAGAGGGCACACCGCTCACACACACCGTCCTCCTTGGCAGTGAGAGGCGCACCGTTCCCACCCACCGTCCTGCTGGGCGGTGAGAGGGCACACCGCTCACACACACCGTCCTCCTTGGCAGTGAGAGGCGCACCGTTCCCACCCACCGTCCTGCTGGGCGGTGAGAGGGCACACCGCTCACACACACCGTCCTCCTTGGCAGTGAGAGGCGCACCGTTCCCACCCACCGTCCTGCTGGGCGGTGAGAGGGCACACCGCTCACACACACCGTCCTCCTTGGCAGTGAGAGGCGCACCGTTCCCACCCACCGTCCTGCTGGGCGGTGAGAGGGCACACCGCTCACACACACCGTCCTCCTTGGCAGTGAGAGGCGCACCGTTCCCACCCACCGTCCTGCTGGGCGGTGAGAGGGCACACCGCTCACACACACCGTCCTCCTTGGCAGTGAGAGGCGCACCGTTCCCACCCACCGTCCTGCTGGGCGGTGAGAGGGCACACCGCTCACACACACCGTCCTCCTTGGCAGTGAGAGGCGCACCGTTCCCACCCACCGTCCTGCTGGGCGGTGAGAGGGCACACCGCTCACACACACCGTCCTCCTTGGCAGTGAGAGGCGCACCGTTCCCACCCACCGTCCTGCTGGGCGGTGAGAGGGCACACCGCTCACACACACCGTCCTCCTTGGCAGTGAGAGGCGCACCGTTCCCACCCACCGTCCTGCTGGGCGGTGAGAGGGCACACCGCTCACACACACCGTCCTCCTTGGCAGTGAGAGGCGCACCGTTCCCACCCACCGTCCTGCTGGGCGGTGAGAGGGCACACCGCTCACACACACCGTCCTCCTTGGCAGTGAGAGGCGCACCGTTCCCACCCACCGTCCTGCTGGGCGGTGAGAGGGCACACCGCTCACACACACCGTCCTCCTTGGCAGTGAGAGGCGCACCGTTCCCACCCACCGTCCTGCTGGGCGGTGAGAGGGCACACCGCTCACACACACCGTCCTCCTTGGCAGTGAGAGGCGCACCGTTCCCACCCACCGTCCTGCTGGGCGGTGAGAGGGCACACCGCTCACACACACCGTCCTCCTTGGCAGTGAGAGGCGCACCGTTCCCACCCACCGTCCTGCTGGGCGGTGAGAGGGCACACCGCTCACACACACCGTCCTCCTTGGCAGTGAGAGGCGCACCGTTCCCACCCACCGTCCTGCTGGGCGGTGAGAGGGCACACCGCTCACACACACCGTCCTCCTTGGCAGTGAGAGGCGCACCGTTCCCACCCACCGTCCTGCTGGGCGGTGAGAGGGCACACCGCTCACACACACCGTCCTCCTTGGCAGTGAGAGGCGCACCGTTCCCACCCACCGTCCTGCTGGGCGGTGAGAGGGCACACCGCTCACACACACCGTCCTCCTTGGCAGTGAGAGGCGCACCGTTCCCACCCACCGTCCTGCTGGGCGGTGAGAGGGCACACCGCTCACACACACCGTCCTCCTTGGCAGTGAGAGGCGCACCGTTCCCACCCACCGTCCTGCTGGGCGGTGAGAGGGCACACCGCTCACACACACCGTCCTCCTTGGCAGTGAGAGGCGCACCGTTCCCACCCACCGTCCTGCTGGGCGGTGAGAGGGCACACCGCTCACACACACCGTCCTCCTTGGCAGTGAGAGGCGCACCGTTCCCACCCACCGTCCTGCTGGGCGGTGAGAGGGCACACCGCTCACACACA